ACAGAAGATAAAGTAGTTTCATAAAAGTGTAGTAGTAGTTATGCCAAAGGCTAACAAGAAGTCAAGATTAGGGTAAAAACGAGTCATTCCATTAAACCACGTGGAGGAAATTTGTGACTCTGGGCATGAGGTGTTTGATAGGAAGGTAGGGACATGAGTGGAGAGAGGGGAACACAGGAGGGTGTGAGACATGACACAGACAGTGGCGTTTAAGAGTAGTTTATTTCAGCAGCGAAGATTTCAGTGTGTTCCAACTATAAATGTGAAATGCCCAGTGGAAAAGTAAGTTGAAGTCACTTAAAAATTAAAAACAATAACTAATAATAACAGCTCCCACTCAGTGAGGACTTAGTGTGTACTGGACACTCTTCCATATATCCCACTGATGCTCACAAAACCTTAGGTACTATGGTAGGTGCTGAGCATTCTTTGTAGATAAAGAAATAAAAGCCTGGAGAGTTAGCAGGGCTAAGTGATAGACCACGTCCCTTAGGAGGGAGAAAAGGTTGTGACCCAAAGCCCAGCGAGAAAAGAATTATCTTGTATGGGAAGAAACCAAACTTCCATTCTGAGGAAGGGAAGGAGAGGGGTGAGGCAGAGACTGAGCATTCCTCGTATCTTCTATTTTGTCTGTCAGTCAAGGGATAAGGGCATTCCCACAGCACAAGGGAAGGCCTGAGGCTGGTAGGCCAGTGGGGGGGGGGGCGGTCAATAACCATGTGGTGAACAAGAAAGAACTCTGACTGGGAAGCACAAAATGGCTGCCAGGCAGCACTGAGGCCCCACTACACTAAGAAAGTAAGAATAAGCAGTGTCCTTGGTCAGCAAGGTTGTAGGGTCTCCCCTTGTGGTCCGCTTGACGTCAGGGGAGAGAGAGTTCTCTTAGACTCTAGGAAAGTTCCAAGAGTCAGGGACACAGAGACTTTGAAGGTGAGCCAGCCAGGTAGGGGTACAGGGGAGCTGTAGAGAGAAAAGGGTGTAGACTCATTTAACTGGCACTTATTTGAACCTTCTTCAAAAGTAGGGCATAATTATACCTCATTAATCAGGTAAATGGGGCGGGGGATTGATTGTGTCTGAAGGTTGAAAAAAGCTTAGTGAGAGGGGGCAGAGGAATTCTTTCTGCTTAATTTTTCTGGAAACCAAAAATCAGTCAAAAAGATAGTCTTTTAATTTTTTTTAAATGGAACATGGACTAATAAAAGAATGACCTGGAAATAAATAATATAACATCTGAATTCACTTAACTTTCTGGCTTTAGAAGAATATATTTGATTGTTTAGCTAAAATTCAATCCCATAATTCACCTTCCCCAGGGTTGTTGTAAATGAATTAAAGAATAAGAAAGGAGGAAGGCAGGCCTAAGAATTTGGCTCAGTGGTACTGTGCCTGTCTCACAAGAGCAAGGTCCTAAGTTCGATCCCTGGTACCACAAAAAAAAAAAAAAGAAAGGAGAAAGGGGATAAGAAACCTATGGTTAAATTCCCAATTTATACAAAGGACTATGGTGGGCTTATTAGAAGTGTTACAGAGTGTAGTCCTAAGTAAAATCACAAATATATTTCACAAATAAGGACACAAAGATGATTATCTAACCTGTCTAAAGTGGTTCAGAAGGTAAGCAGTTTGAAATCATTGTCTATTGACAATGAATACTTGTTTGTCGTCCCACACACACTGAATAATGATTCTGACCATTGACATTCAGTTAAGTTTTGTATAGCCTTACATTTTGAATGTTTTCTGAAATACTATTGGGAAAGTTTCAATGAAGGCACTATTAAACTTCCGTTTGAAGACTTGTAGCAAACCAAGACTACCCATGAAATGGAAATTCATAATTCATTAATGAGCCAATAGGTGGCAGTATAGCACGGAGTTTTCAAATTTTTAAATAATATTGTTAATTAACAAATACCGATTGAGGCACCAGTATTGTACCTAGTGCTGTGGGGGGTGGGGAGAAGGAGGAAGAGGAAAGAGAAGGAGAAAAGGAGAGCTAAAGAAAAAGAAACTCTCCGGAAGCCAAAATAATAATAAGGGCCATGCACCCTTCAAAATTCATTTCATACCTCACCCGGGGAAGCTCATACCCTGGTCTAATCCAGGCACTGGCAGGCCTCTGGACATCTGACTGACATGGTGTCAAAACACGGAAGAGTGGGGCCGGGGATTTAGCTCAGTGGTTCCACCGCCTGCCTCGAAAGAGAAAGGTCCAGAGTTTGATCCCCGGTACCAAAAAAAAAACCACTGAAGAGTGTCACAGCTGATGGCCATGCACCATGAGACACTGAGAGGAAGAAGCACTGCTCATCTCTGAATACTCTGGAACCAGTGGCTGGCAAAGGAGCCAAATATCACTGAAGGATGAATGAGTGAATGACAGGAGCCTGACCGTTTACCTACCTTCGGAAGGGAGAGTACAGCAACATCTTTGCTAACGAGAAATTCACTTTTCCTTAATTTATGTGTCATAAGTAATGTGGAGAAAAAATATTGTTTTACCTTCATAAAAATTAAAATAGAATTCTTTCGGATGAGAATGAAAAAGAAGAGGTAGCAGTGGTGGCTGGAATAGTTTGATCCTGAGGGTAAAAGATACCTGTAAAACTCTACCCATATGCCAGACATAAATAGACGTATCCGATCCTTGTAATAGTATTATGAGCTAATTATTGCTATTAAATCCACGTTATAGGTGTGAAAATGAAGCTCAGAGAACTTAATTTGCCCAAATGATTAACTGGAGCAAATAGCTCCTCCTTCCTTTTTAAACTAACCTGCACTTACTACCTGCCAAGTCCTGCAGGGCCTCAATAACTTACCCACAGTGGCGCTGTCAGAGAGACTCAAAAAAGGTCACACTTCCAGGCCTATGGGACTCAGGGATCAGTGTCTTTTGCTCGGTTTCACTTTCTTATCACAGACCTCTCCACAGAGTTGGGAGACTCGTTTCCCTCCCTGCTGTCCCCTGAATTATCATAGTAAGGCACGCCAGTAGCTGGGTTTCTTGACAGAAAGGGACCCAGGTGGGTTTCCCCCCAGCATCCCTGACAGCACGAGGCCCACCCTGGAGCTTCCAGGGTTCCAGCAGCAGCTCCTCCGCTGGTCCCCATGGAGGAGGCCTACGACCCTGTGTCTCAGCCCAGTGCCCAATCGAGGACACACAGTGTTGAGTGACTTGGGAAAACAGCAGGCATCCCAGCCTACCACAGTCCTTGAAATAGCCAGATGTGCGGCCATCCGCGGCCCCAAATGCCCAATGTCGCTTAGAATTCCTTTGTCATTTTAACCCCGCTCTTTTGAGGCACAGTAAATAAACACGTAAGCAACACACAAAATGCTGACAGAAGGGACCTGGATCATTGTGTTAGGGCAGTGAAATAATGAGTACTTTTTTCTTTTATTTTCCAAAAATTGTTGACGATGTGGTTCCAGTACCTTTGAAAACAATATTAAAAGGTCCCTTCCCTTTTAAGAAGCATTGTTTTCTTCCATCAAACAGCCAAAGAGGGTACAGAGATGGGTGAACCGACATAGGTCTGATTCCCGAATTCCACATTCATTTCCCACACATTTTTCCGTAGTGGATTGGACAAGGAATGAGTGCACAGCTAAGGCTCACTAGGTCACAAGATTTCAGAGACCGAAGAAAACGGCTTGCAGGAATGAGCTAGGAGGTGGAAAGAACGCAGCAGTCACTCTGTGGCGCGCGCCCTGAGGACCCCGGGCCCCGCTCTGGCTGCCATCAGAACGGGGGCCTCTACGGGCGGGCGGCCGGGCCTGCGCTCTGTTTCGCAGTAATGCTCTCCTTCGTGTTGACGATCTCGAAATCTTCCCCCTTCCTCCCATCTTTTAGGAGAAACCAAAAGGCAGAATTATTTTTAGAAAGATGTTCACTACAAAGGGAGAGGGAAACTACAAAATCACGGGCACGAGTGATGCTATGGAGAACAGACCGTTTTCAGCGTTAACTCACAACTAGCTACAGATCCGCTTCCTGGGAAGAGATGATGACCTTCTTTGCTCGGCCTCCGCTGCCACCGCTGGGAATGAGCCTCTCAGCCTCTCAGAGCCTGCTCCTGCCATGTCTGGGCAGTCTCGGCCCCCTCTCCTCATCTCCCCCCTGGGTAGCGGTGACTGCCTTTCTCCCAGCTCCTGGCCTCTAGGGGAAGGAAGGTGCTTCTCATCAGGCCAGGAATCCAACTTCTGGAAATCAGCCTTCCGGGCCGTCCTCACAGATGACTTCCTTTGCCCTTTCCATCAATCTGTGAGCCAACACACTGTCCAGCCATCCAAAACATTTCATTCGGTAAATGTCAAGGCCCGGTCTCTCCTGCCTGGATGGACAGCTTTACCCTCATCCTTTCTAGAGAAATTCATTTCAATGATTCCAATCCACTGTCCCAACAAGTATACGCGGCCCATCGTGTGTTCCCATTTCCTTCAGTACAATCTCTGTACCCATGCTGTGGCTGGTATCTTGGCCTCTTCTAACAAACGGGCAAAAGGCCACAAACATCAGAGAGCGTGTTTTGGTAGCACGCCAAGAGCATTGCCCCTTACTGCCCTACAGAGCCCGCAGCCCCGACTGGCCTCAAGCTCTTCATCTGGACTGTCCCTCAATTTCTGTTCCTCACAGAGAGGGGGGCTCTGACTGAAAACGCAGTAGTTTGCACACTCACACCCAGTGAATGTTCCTGTCACCCTGCCTCAGCTTTACCCTCTCTCCTCTCTGCCCCAAGCACTCCCTGGGCCCCCTTCTCAGGGAGTGATCTGGCGTCAGCCTCGTCATTACAGTTTTACAGCATCAAAATACCATAACCATACTGTAACAATAACACACATACAATAAGAGGAGGGTCGATCACTCAAACAAGCTCTTACAGGAAAACATGCAGCTCTCTCCCTGGTACGAAAAATACAGGTCTCCACCCCACCACAAAAAATCCCAGGATGCCCCAGGATGCAGTTTCTTTCCTTCATGACGTGTGGGAAAGCACGTCAGCTGCTCCTTGTTGCTGTGCAGATCGCCCAACATCGGGGCAGCGCTTGCTCACACAGCTGATAGGAGGGTTAGGAGACAATGCTTTGTCAGCCTGACTGAGTCCAAGAGAGGCCCAGCACACGCAGGTGAGAAGGAGGAAGAGTGGATGTGGAGGACCGCGAGGTGGCTTGGTTGTGTGGGGCGAATGTTTTCTCTTTGGCAGTGCATTTGTATTGTCTTTTCTGTGAAGTTTGCGGTCTGGGGGTTCCTGCCAGTAAAATCCTTTCAGTCACTCATCTGGTTTCAGGGATTGGCCACTTTTACCTCATAGGAATTGTGTGAGTCACAGAGAAGATTTTAAATGTGACAGAGCTCTGAAAATTTAAACTTCTGTGCATGTGAGAGTATGAATAATTTAATTACAAATTTCACATAAAGAATTAAATCATTTATCCCAGATTTGGGGCATAGTTATATAAAGATATTCATCCACCCACCCCCATCTGCCCCAAATTACCATCCCCTGTCTCTCCTGTTTCTTGTCAGGCCTGGACAGGTATATTATTTATAATTTTTAAGGGTTCAATCTTTCTAAAGCAGTTGATATTTTTTAAAAGCCGGCAGTACGTTCATTTTCAATGAAAAGCCACAAAATTACCAAACAAGATGATAAAATAAGTATCTAAGTAGGAAATGAAAATGATGCACAAGAATATTATAAAGCAGACGACAGATGGGTATATTATGCTGTATTAGATTACATCTCTTCGATGGTACAATCCAAACACAATATGACATTTCTCTTAATGACATAAGAAAGGCTGAAATGGAATTAAAGGGGGCAGAGATATTATCATTGGTAAAAACTTGCCTTTTAGAACAGCAGCAAAGCAGGCTTGGGCTCCAAAAGTAGAGCTAAGAGACGTCTGAACGCCAGGCCATCAGCCTTTCCCTCAGCACGGTTGCTATGGCGACAGCCAGGCTACTGGACAGCCTCTCAGCGCCTGCACTTCTGCAGTAAAAGCTTTCACTGCACACATGTTGGATTTTTTAGGCACACACCCCATCATCAAATACAAGGACAGTGGAAGCAGCCTGATCGGAGTCATTTGCTTCACGGAAGTTGTCTTTCTGCTCTTTACCTGTATGGGTGCCCCTCTGTAGGGTGATGGGATTCACTGTTCATGCTTCGATTCACTGGGCAGTTAATGTACTGTGCCTACTGTGAGCGCTGCCTGCGGTTCTGGTGAAGATAAACAAGTATGTGGGGAGCTCTGAGGCAAGAGCACAACAGCTCTCCCGGGTTAAGCTGGAAACCTCACCAGATGTTCCCGAGGAGAAGCTTCTAAAAGGAAACCTAATGTATCTTTAGTATCTTTAGGAGTTGAGGAGGAGGGGTGTGTGGGTGGGTAGAGGAAATGTCCCCGACAGAGGGGCCAGCATGTGCAGCAGACTAGCGAGCAAAAAACGGGAAAGCTGATTGCAGGCAGCTGAAGGGCTGCAGCAGCCAGCAGCCTCTGTATGTGCAGAGAGAGAACCAAGGGCCTAGGGGCTGGACCGGGAGGAGGGGTGTGCTCAGAAAAGAGGCAGCAAGAAATGAGCCTGGACACGGAGCTGCCAGACCACGAAAGGCCTCTGAGCCCTGCTAAGGAGTTGGAATATTACCCGGAGGACAACAGGGCCATCACTAATGAGGTCCAGGGGAGGATGGCTTGTTGTAGCCCTTTATAAAAGCTGCGTGGGAAAATTGAAAAACTAATTGCCAAGAGAGGAAGAAGAGTCAAGATTGCAAGCAAGACGACTTTAGACCACTCCTGAAACAATCTAGGGTGATTACGGTTAGGCTCTAGACGAAGGTAATGGAGACAAATAGCAGCCAGACGGGAGCAGCTTCAAGTCCCTTGCTGCCAGGGTAGCATGGAGCCCACTCGAGGAGATGTATGCTATTTGTAGGTCAGCCGAGTGAGAGAAAGAGGTCACGGATGAGCTGGGGTTCTGACTCGGACAGCTCAGTGGTGAATTTCTCTAAGTCCCTAGGCTCAGTTCTCTGCTCTCCATAGGAAGCTCAGAAACACTTTTGATCTTAAATAGCCCTTTCCTAATCTAGCACACTGGCAGGCTGAGGCAGGAGGATTGAAAATTCAAAGCCAGCCTGGGCAACTCAGCAACCTAAGGAGACCCTGCCTCAAAATTTAAAATATATATATATTTTTTCTTTTTACAATTTTTATTAGTCCATGTTTGCAGCACATAAGGACCACATTTATCATGGGGAGTCTGTGCATGCACATAACACTGCTTATTTTTTGTCTCTTTCTCCTCCCATTCCTCCCTGCTCCCACTAGCTCTGTTTTCCTTCCCGTTTGAAAAAGTTTATTACCATGTTTCCGATTTTCTCTCTTTTAATCTTTTCTTTTCCTTCCCTTCCCCCTCCCTCCTTTTCTTGTTCCCCTTCTCATTTGAAAAATCTCCCCAAAATATTTTTTAAAGGCTGGGATGTAGCTCAGTGCAAAGGCCCCGGGTTCAGTCCCCAATATTAGGGGGACAAGGTTAACTTCTATTTCACCATATATGACCCCACCCTCATAATTTTAGAAATGATACATGGCACAAATCATTCTGGACCATCAACGCCCCAGGTCTATATTGGAAACACCTGTGGGTATAAAAAGTACAAATTAATCACCTCTTCTCTCCAAGTAAAGAATCCTGAGATTACCAACCTCACTGCTTAATCGAGGAGCAATAAGTAGATGGAAAAGGGGTGAAGATTTACCGAATGAAATTTCTTTAGGGTTGTAGGAAGAAGGCAGGTTGAGCCCATTAACTTTGAACTCAAAAAACCCACTGCTAAATTTGAAAGCTGAGGACTCAGAGAAATGCTATTTGGAAGGCAGACAAATGGGAGCGCTGGATGTTCCAATACAGCCGGGAGCCTCCCTACAGGGGTAGGGACACCGAGTACTCAGAACACTACCCAGTTGTGAGCAAAGGGCATCGGGTCACTGCACAGGTTGAACTCCATCACTAGACAGGATTTAGGGGTACACAGTGCAATACATCAAGGCCCATAACTGTGCTGCATCCTCAGTTGGACAGGTTTTGGAACTTCTTTAAACAAATCTGTTTGTATTACAAAGGCTTTTCCTGCCCTCCCATAAGGGTGTCAGCAGGCGCTGAGTGGACCCCTCGGACCTAGTCTAAGCCCCCAGTGGAAAGCTCTGAGCAATCAGCGGGGCTCAGCTCTCTTCTTTTTCTCCTCTAATCTTCACAGCTACCCTTGAGGTGGGTATCGTTGTCACTGTCAGTTTTACAAGGACAAACTTCAGATCCCGGGGTCAAGGAACGCTAGGCATAAAGGCTGTCAGCCTGCCGGGAATGGAGCGCTGGGTGCGACCAGGTTTCGAGTTCACGCGCACCCCCCATCCGCAAAGCAGCGCAGGGGGGGGGGGGGCAGAGCTGCTCCCGGAACCCCCGGCTGCCTCCCCGGCGCCGGAGCTGGGCGCTGCCTCCTCGCTGTCTCCCTGCGGCAGCGCTGCGCTGCCACCCGAGGCCCTTCTGACGCAAACCCGGAGAATCGCAGCCTTGCAAACGTTGGAACCAGAGGCTGTCAGTCCTGCGGCACCGGCGTGGCCGGCGCCTGGAGAAGGGGACCCGCCCGCCACCCTCAGAAGGCGACCCCGTGGGGAGGGGTCCGAGGCTGGGGGGCAGCCGGGGCTGAGGAGGGCGGGAAACTTTCCCCGACAGCAGCCGGCGCTCTAACGCGGCGGTCTCCGCAGTCTCCACATCCCTCCCGACCTGCGCCGGACCCAGACCAGGTGACCCCGGGAGAGGGCGAGGGCGTCGCCTCCCCCGGGCGCGCTCCTGGGTCGGGCTCGGCAGCGGCGGCCCTGGGCGGGGGCGCGCAGGTGCGGGGTGGCCTGGGCGCCGC